TCATCCCACCCCCGAGGAGCCACTTGGGGACGATTTTGGGCTCCCGCTGCCTCCGGAAGCTCCGCTGCGCTTCCAAAGGGTGAGGCCTTGGCAGGCAGCGGGATCAGCGGCTCCAGAGCCATGTGGAAACACTTATTCCACTGGATTTCACATGGATCTGTGCCGGCAGGATCCGGGCTGGCGCTCCAGAGGGATAAACAGGGCGGATTGACGGTCGGGAGCAGCGAATCCGAAGGGTGAGGCCGAGCTCCCCGCCTTAGATCCATGGAATCCCCAAAGAGTCCTTCAGGGAGCAGGAGGTGTCCCTGATTCTGCATGGAATCGTGGAATTAGGGAACGGTTTGGGTTGGAAGGGGCCTTAAAGTTTCATCCGTGGAAGTTTAATCCAGTTTAATCCTTTGGGATCGCCCGGCTCCCAGTCCGGGATGAGGTGGGAAGGACTCAGAGGAGCAGTGGTGAGGGAGAGCAGAGGGCAGGCTTTTCCAACAGCTCCCTGTCCCAGAGGGGAATTTGCTGGGACTGGGAGCACAGGACGCTCCAAGGTTCGTTTTCCTTGCTAAAACCTGGAATCTCTTCCCATGGATTTGTCCCCTGAGGGTTGTGACCCTCCCACTGTCCATTTCCCTGCTCTGACACCCCCCTACGTGGCACTTCCACAGCCTTTTCCAAGCCCTCTCCTGCCATCTTTCCCCTCAGTTTCTTGGGAGGAGAAGGGAATTCCCTGGGAACGCTTTCACCCCTCAGCGCTGACGCGACAGAGCTGATGGATTCCAGCTGGGAATTTCCAGTGGGATATGGGCAATCCCTGAGTGATCCAGTGGGGTGAGGGGACCTCCACAGCCTTTCCCAAGCCTCCTCCTGCCCTCTCTCCCCTCAATTCCTTGGTTGGAGAAGGGACTTCCACAGCACCGTGTTCATCCCGACGTGCCCGAGGCCGACGGATTCCGAGGCCGATGGATCCCGGCCCGTTTCCTGCAGGCTCAGGGCAATCCTGGAGTGATCCGGCGAGGTGATGGGGGGGGTCATTCCCAGTTTTTTTTCCCTGGCAGTGAACGTGGTGGAGGCCCTGCAGGAGTTCTGGCAGATGAAGGCGTCGCGCGGGGCCGACCTTCGCCACGGGGCGCTGGTGCTCTACGAGATGGTGCCCGCCGGGAGCCCCCCCTACGTCTGCTACGTCACCCTGCCCGGGGGCAGCTGCTTCGGCAGCTTCCAGGTATTCCCAAATATTCCCCTGGGGTGGGTGATCCTCTGCCCGCCAACCCCTTCCCAAATATTCCCCCGGGGTGAGTGTTCCCCCTGCCCGCCAACCCCTTCCCCAAATATTGGCTGCGTTCCAGATTCCTTCCTGTCCTCCCTCTTGCTTGGAAGAGTGGATCCAAAAGAAACAGTCCCAGCAGCCACAGGGTCATGCCCTCCCAGCATCCTGGTCTTTGGGAGGAATTTGGGAATGGTTTGGGTTGGAGGTCATTAATTACTTGATGGGCGGTTTCGACGGAGCTGATGGATTCCAGCTGGGAATCCTCTGTTTCCAGCAGGATATGGGTGATCCCTGAGGGATCCAGCAGGGTGGGGGGAACCTCCACGGCCTTTTCCAAGCCCTCTCCTGCCATCTTTCCCCTCAGTTTCTTGGGAGGAGAAAGGACTTCCATAGGAACGTTTTCACTCCTCAGTCCCGATGTGATGGAGCTGATGGATTCCAGCTGGGAATTTCCAGCGGGATGGGGGCGATCCCAGAGGGATCCAGCGGGGTGGGGGGGACCTCCACAGCCTTTTCCAAGCCCTCTCCTGCCATCTTTCCCCTCGATTCCTTGGGAGGAGAAGGCACTTCCCCGGGAACGGGCGGTTTCAAACCCCTCGCGCCACCTCCTAATTCCGCCCCCGCCCTCCCAACCGCCATTCCCGGTGGCCCCGGGGGGGGTGTTGGGATCCCGGGAATGCCGTGACAGTGTCCATGTGTCCCAGTTCTGTCCCACCAAGGCCGAGGCGCGGCGCAGCGCGGCCAAGATCGCGCTGATGAACTCCGTGTTCAACGAGCACCCGTCGCGCCGCATCACCGACGACTTCATCGAGAAGAGCGTCTCCGAGGCCCTGGCGTCCTTCAACGTAAGGATGGGCACGGAAAAACCCCGGGAAAAGCGCCTCGAACCGGGGTTTGAGGCAGGTTTTGTGGAGTATTCCAAGTTTTAAGTGCGTTCGAGTTCCCGTTCTCCTGCTCCGGAGAGCGCAGCGCTCCAGGGTGGGATGAGGAGGCCGAGGTGTGGAATCTCCCGGCCCTTCCCTGGCTGGGTTGGCACATCCGCCGGTTTCCCTGAAGCCAAAGTTTTTCCAGGGATTTCGGATTCTATCCCTGGGAGCTTTGCGCTCTCCCTTCCCTGCCCCAATTATCCCGGAGGGAATTCTTGCCGCGTAACCTGCGGCTGCTCCGTGGTCTCCGGGGTGTTGTGAGAGCTTTGGAATCACTGCAGGAAAAATCCTGTTCCCAGGGGTGTTGTCCAGGGATTCCTTGCTCCGGGAGAGCCACATTTATCCCGGTGCTGTCCCAGATTTATCCAGGGAGAGCCGAAGTGGCCGGTGCCGCATGAGCGAGGCTGGACTGGCTGGATGAGGATATCACAGCCTTGTGCTGGCACCAGGCTCTCCTGAATCCCACTGGGAATTCCTGGAGCAGGGCTAGTGCAGCAGGAGCAGCACTGGCAGGAATGGCAGCTCCTGTCTGGAATGTCTCTGCAGGGCAACCGGGAGGAGGCGGATAATCCCAACACCGGGATCGGGGCGTTCCGCTTCATGCTGGAGTCCAACAAGGGAAAATCCATGCTGGAGTTCCAGGTACTGTTCCTAGTTTTTCCCTGGCTCTGCTCCAGGGTTTGGATCCAGCTTTGGAACGTGGCTGTGTTTGGGATTCCGTACTTTTCCCGAAGCCAACCTCTCTCCTGGCTCCTTTCCCTGGAATGGGAGGGGCTGAGGTGTTTTTGTTCAGGGTCCTGTTTACACACGGAGACTCTGGGATGGATATTCCCAGCTCCCAACTGGCTTTGGGAAGCCTGACAGGTCCCAGTTTTTAAGCAGAATCTGTGTGTCCTGGAGGGAGAAATGGCTGGAAAACCTGGAATTGTCCCCGTTTCTGCCAGTGCTTCAGCTTGGAGAGGCTTATCCCGGACTCCCAACGGCACAGGGGGCATTGGAGGCTCCACCTCCATCGTAATCCAGATTAATCAGGGAATTTTGCCCCAGTGTCCTGCTCCTGGTGGTACCTTTAGGTCAATCCACATCCCAGGAAGCTGCCCCACCTCTGGAAGTGCCCCAGGCCGGGTTGGACAGGGCTCGAAGCCACCTGGGCGGGTGTTCCCTGCCCCTCCCGTGCTCCCGATGATCCATAAGGTCCCTCTCCCACCCCGCCCCATCCCACCATTCCACGATCCCGCTCCCATCCTGCCTCCCATTTCCCTTCCCAGGAGCTGATGACGGTTTTCCAGCTGCTGCACTGGAACGGGAGCCTGAAGGCCATGCGGGAGCGGCAGTGCTCGCGCCAGGTGAGTCCAGAGCCGCTCCGGGAACATCATCCCACCGCTCCCTCCCGGCCCTGATCCCACCCCCGCATCCCATTCCCACCAGGAAGTCCTGGCTCACTATTCCCACCGCGCCCTGGACGATGACATCCGGAACCAGATGGCCCTGGACTGGGTGAACCGGGAGCAGAGCGTCCCGGGCGCCCTTTCCCGGGAGCTGGCGGCCACGGAGCGGGAGCTGGACGAGGCCCGGCTGGCCGGGAAGGAGCTGCGCTTCCATAAGGAGAAGAAGGACATCCTGCTGCTGGCGGCCGGCCAGCTGGGATCCGGGCACTCCGCCGGCTGCTGAGCCCCGGGATCCGGCCCCGGGATCCCTTCCGGAGCTCCCGGCCCCCCTTCCCGAATCCCGGCCCGTTTGCACATTGGAAAGAAATGTAGGGAAAAAGCTCCTGGGTGGATTTTAACCGCTTCATCCCGGTTTTTAGAGGTGCTCCTCAGTCTCCTCGTTCCCTAGAGAATCTCTTATTCCCTCAAGAACTACTCATTCCCTATGGATCTCCTTATTCCCTAGGGAATTCTTTGTTCCCTACAGGATTCTTTCTGTCCCTCGTTTTTGGGGTTAAAAACGCAGGTTTTGGCCCCTCCGCTCTCCATCGGTACTGGAGCGGGGAGGATTCCGTGGGATCCAACTTTTCCTCTGGAAAAGGCCCTTGGATCTGATGCTTGGCACCCCTCCCTCCCAGAGCAGAAAGGGATCAATTAAAGCTCCTTGATGAGCTCCTTAATTAAATCCCAAAGGATCGTGATGTGCTGTATCCAAAGGGATTGAAAACTGGGATTTGGGATTAAATCTGGGATCAACCGGGCAGCATCCCAGCCCTGAGCTCAGCAGGATCTGCAGTTCCCCCTGGAACTGTCTTGTCCATGGCCAAACATCAGCCTTGGCTTTTCCATGGAAGGTTGGAAAAGCCTTGGAAGAGTTTGGGGATGAGGGAGGGATCTGCACTAATCATTCCTTTCCCCTTGTATCCGTATCCACGTGGAACTTAGATGATATTTAGCTTTACAAAAACCCTTTTATGGCATGGGATTGTTCAAACAGCTCTAGTTCACCCAAGGAAATGGCATTTTACCCCTGGAAATTCTCATCTCACTCCCCCTTTCTCCACCAGACCAGGAGTACAAACAAAATTCCAAGCCAGAATTCCTTTTTCACGCCAGCTTGGAGCTTTTCCCACTTCTTATCCCCACAAACCCTTCGGGGTGCCATTATTCCCACCCTCTCACCCCCTTCCTCCCTCTGCCTGAGCGCAGGATATTCCAGCAATAATCATTGTTTTGGGATAAGATTGGAATAATTCCATGATCCGTAGGTATCCTGCTTTTATATCCACATCCTGACGAGCCTGTTTTGGGGGTTCTATATTTTTTATACTTTCACAACACTATTAACGTTTGATGTCGCTGGAAATGGGATTAAAAAGGCCTGGGGTGGAGGGGGGGGGAGTGTTCTTGAAATATTGGAAAAATCCAGACCTGGAACTTGGATTTAGGAATCATGTGGAGTTAATCCTGTGATTTATTCCCCTGATTCCCCACAAGAGAGAATTCCTGAAGCTCCTCCCAACACTTCCAGTGGCTTCAGTACTCCAGCTCCCAGCGAATGGATCCAGGTGGATTTTGGGAGGAAAAAGAAAAAAAAAAAGGGGAAAAAGCACCGATTTGGGGGCTCCAGATCCCCTTGGAGGGCACTGAAATGAACAAATCCAGGTTTCCTCAGTATGGAAAGAGGGTTGTGCTCCCTGTTGAAACAATGGAATGATGCGGATCCAGCGGGACAAATCCTGGGGTGGATTTTATGCAATAAAACCAGCGATTTGTTTTTGGGGTAACTTTGGTGCTTTTGCTCATTCTGTGCGGCCGAGTCGTGCCCAACCTCCACTTTAAGCTAGAAATGTTATTTTCTGAATGTTGCCATTTTTGGCTGTTTTTCCTCTTAAACCTGTAATTAGTTTGGTGTCATAAAATAAGGGTGAAGGAAGCAAAGACAATTGAAAAGAACCAGAGGAAGTGAACCAAATGAATCGTGCGCTTCAAAAGGCACAATTCAGTAGGATTTGCTTTGCCGAGGATTAAATTCAATTAAAAAAAATTTGTTTTAGTGGAAAATAACACCAAGTTATCTTTTAATTAGTGATAGACGTGGTGGGTAAAGACAATCAGAGGAGAGTCAGAGGTCGAAATTAATCCGAGGGGGAAGGAGGATGGTTTTCTGGGAGGCAACTTGGAATGTAGCAACGGATAAACACCCGAAGAAACCGTATTTCGGAGAGCATGGCTGGCGAGTGATTCCCCACGAGGAATTAAAGGAATGTTTCGTACAAAAGACACTTTGGGTGTGATATTTTGGTTTCAGACACTTTCACCACAGACCCTCCCCAACATGGCGGCGTTTTGTGCCGCCTTCCCCACTCAGGTGACCTTCCCAATATGGCGGCGCCTCTAGCCCTTCCCCAATCATGTGACCTTTCCAACATGGCGGAGCTCCCGGCGCCCCCCCTCGCCCTTCCCAAGATGGCGCCGCCTCATTTCCGCTTCCCGCCCTCCCGCCCATGGCGGCGCATCCGGAGCCAACATGGCGGACGTGCTGGATCTCCATGAGGCGGGCGGGGAGGATTTCGCTATGGACGAGGACGGGGATGGTGAGCGCGGGGCTGAGGCTGCTCCTCCGGGCCCGCAGATGTCCTGGCGACCGGTCCGGCCGGGCTCTGGCCCGGGGGAGCCGCTCCCGCCGCGCCCCCAAATCCCGAGTCACCTCCTTCAGCCCCGCCAGCCTGAGGGACGGACCGGGCCTAGGGGAGTCATTCCTTGCCTGGGAGGGAGGGTCCTGCAGGCCCGGGGGGTCCTGTTGTTCCCAGGGGGGTCCTGTTGTTCCCAGGGGAGTTCTGCCCATCCCATGGGGGATCCTGTAGTTCCAGGGGGAGTCCTGTAGCTCGCAGGGGGATCTTGTAGTTCCAGGGG